TTCAGCAGCACAGCCTTGACCTGTGGGGTTGCAGAACTGGACTAAATAACTCTGAGCACCCGTGAAAGTCCTATGGGGAATGCCTTTTCCAAGACAATGTTGTATTCCTTGAAAATGTATAAAGGAAAAACCCTGAGCTTGAAATGAAAAGGCACGATTTTTAGTCTAGCCCCACAACTTGCTAGCTGTGTAACATTATGCAAGCCTCCTTTCTGAATCTCCTTTTGGTATGAGAATAATAAGGTTTACCTCCAAGCTGATGTGTAGAAATAGTGAGCTAATAGATGAACAATTACCTGACAAAGATCCTGGTCTCAAAAAAATGCTGATCAATAAATGCTAACCCTAAAATGTCCTTGGTAGACATTTGGTAGAAGGCCAAGCATACTGTTAAGTGTTTTCCAGATACCATCTCATTTAATCCTCCTAGCCGTCTGGCGAGGTAGTCATCGTTTGTCTTCATGTACTTGATGAGAAAAGGAAAGCTGAGAGAATTAAAGCAGCTTACCCAAGTCACCCAAGAGTAAGTATAAATCATGGAATTTGAACTCATCTGACAACACACTGTTTCCTTTAGCATCTATTGGCTCTGAATTTGAAGTAGAAAATTAAACAGCTTTAAAAAGGAATAGATTGGAGCTCTATAGAACTCTTGTTCTCATATCCAGGTTACTTGACATTTTCCTTGCCTGACAATTCTCTCTGATATTTCCCCAAAAGTCATTAGAATCTAAGTGCTTGAGAATCTGTTTTATTCTTTTTATTATGTTTTATATATAGGCTACAGTGTCTGCAACGTAGTATAACATTAGTAAAAGGGTTTTGAATGATGAATAATTTCATGTGTTGGCTGGGGTAAAAATTTGGGATTGTATGGGGGAAGTAGGGCCTATAACTATTCAAGAGATATAAAGTAAATAATGACTGTGGATTCAAACGTGACACTCTTAGAACTAGTAAGAGCTTACAAAAGTGTTCTGGACTGCTGGGTCATTCCAAAGATTCATTAGACCAGCAATTAGCCAAAGAACTAGCCCAAATCTCATGCAGACCTTGAGATGATTTGGGTTTCTTTGACATTACTTGTTAAACTGGAGCTGATTTCATGACCCAGAAATCCCAATGTCTCTTCAGGTTTCTTTGATGCAGGTCATTCACATCCCAATAATGTCATACAAGCTGTAGAGGTGTATTCAGAATTGGCAACTATTAAAGGGAAGAGAGTTAAAGGGAAGTAATAGATACTGTGATTTATGGAAAAATACTGCTTCTCTTGCAGGGATCTACAGAATCAGAAAAAGAAATCATAATACCATTTCAAAATAATGGATTAAATATTTGTCAGAACTAGTAATAACTTCAAGGGCTTTGCCTAAGGGAAGAGGGCTGTATCTCTTGGACATTGATTCTGAAGGTTTTTATTCCCTTTGAGGCATCCTATGATCTCTATTCAATAAAGGAGAAAAAAACACACAGTAATTGATGGCTGTTCTCATCAGCTGGGGACATTTGCAGGTTTGGGAGAAGGAGAAAATGGGGCTGGAGTGAAAAGTTGGAAGCAGCCCACTGGATAATAGAAAAGGTTATAGATCAAACGATCTAGCTAGCATTTTTTAAAAAGGAGTTTGGGACCTACTCCACTCTTTTCTGTTAGGATCCTAACACTTGTATCTTCTACTTTTTGAGACACTGTTTTAGCACATAATGGGACACAAGTTTTAAATTAATTTCTTCTGAAGTACTGACAATTTAAATTTACCTTTAAAAAAATTATTGCTTCCCGAGCTAGTATACTCTTATCAGATAACAACTTATCAGTAAATAGATGTTTAAAAAATTAAAACTCTCCTTAGATTAATGTGTAAGCAATTATGATTTCAAGTTCTAATGTTTCTTAGAAAAGAAGGTTGTAGGTCCCTTAATACTCACAAGACTTGGGATTCTGGAAAGGAAGTAGTATAGTTCAGTGGGGAAAAATCAAACAAAAATATTATCTAATTTAGTAATCAGATATCTTGTATTCTAGTTCAAATCTTATATGAATAACACATCTTAATCTCAATCCACATTTAAAAAAGCTATCTGTCACATAGAATAGTACTCTTGGGTCTGAATTTCTATAACCAATATTTCTGAGTTATTCTACCTTCCTTCCCCACAAGCTCTAGCAATTTTATGTATTTGTGGTATGAAAGTTTTAGTTCCATTATTTAGAACAACCTGCAAGGTATTTACATATGTTGCGATTGTAACCATCTAACGATGTAGGTCTGTTGTGTAAGAAAGGGTTATTACTGTATGGAGGTTAAAAAAAAAAAAACTCCAAAAACCAAACAAAACAAATAGATGCGTCCATTCCATTTTTGATGTTATGACTAGGTGTTGGGAGGATAAATGAGTGATGAAAGACGCTCTTGAGTTCTGAGGAGGACAACTGCTTCATGCAGGCAAGAAATCATTGTTATTAATTACCTTTATTCACTTTCAAATCATCTGTTTCCAAACATGGGCACGTGTGGCCCGATTTTCCTATCTCAGTACCACCTAGTGTGTACCTTATACATATTTAATCTTCAACTGATTTCAAAGGAAGCAACATTATGTACAGATGGATGGCGCTGGAACAAAGGACACACATTAATTCATTTCTTTGATGATTTTTGTTCGTTTGTTTGAGACAAGATAGTTCATTCATATTAAACTATTGCTGACGGTATTATGCTAGTTTTTCTTTAACCTTAAAAAAACTAAATAATGCCATCTGGTGGTGAAAATAAATATTCTGAAGCATATTTCCAGAATTTGTTTATTTCATTTTTTTGTATGTTAATATCTTCCATACTGTAATAGTTTTTAATAAGTTGACTGAAGTCATTAGAAAGTAGAATAAAGATTTTACACAAAAGATGGAAATAAATAGTTTGGAATGTATCTAGCCAGATCTAATTATACAGTGACAAAATTTCCAATTCAAGTTCTTTTCACCCATAAAGAGTGGTGACAGATTATGCAAAACCGTGGAGCTGGTTCTCTTCTTAAGTAACTGATAGTAGTAATTTCCTGGCATCTGATACTATCATTTCTTCTGTAGCCACAATAAATAAAATGATATCCAGTCATGAAATTCGGAACTACTCTCGTGGGTGATAGACCAACTTCCTGAAAAGATATGATGCTTTTATTGATTCCCTCTCAAGTTTGCTTACCCTTGGAATTCAGGTCATGTCTGAAACCTAGAGGGGTATACCTGCTGGAAGATTTTGTTTTGTTTTTATTTGTTTGTTTACATGAGAACCTGATGAGTCTGCTATGATAACTCAATGGGGTTGAAACTGGAGACCAGTATAAGTGAAAGATTATATTTTACTCAGGATCCACTCTCTCCCACCCCTTCTGTCCTCTAAAGACTAGGGTGTCCCAAGAGAGAATTTATCTTCAGACAAATGTCTTCAGACAACAAATTTAATTCCTCTGTCTTTTGATTTCACTGAAAATGGGCTTTTTCTAGGGTAACAAGGAGGAAATAGGGCTGGCACAAAGACAGTGTTCAATAAATATTTGTTGAATTACATCAAAATGAAGAATATTTCTTCCCTCGCAGCCATTGTAAGAGACAACTTCAACCAAAATGAAATTTCTGAAATGTGAATGAACCACATCACTCTGTTGCTTAAAAATCCTGCAATGGCTTCATAATCCACTCCAAATTCCTCACAAGGCTACTCATAATCTTGTCCTTGAATACCTTTTGACTCATATTCTCTCATTTATCATTCCCCCCACTTGACTTCTCTGCTTTAACACAAACACATATCCATGTGCACGCATGTACATGAGTGTGCACACGCACGCACGTGCACACACACACACACGCGCACACACACACTGAAATAGATCTATCCCGCTCCCCAAAGCCAGTGTTCTGTTTAGCCTTTGCTGATCAAAGCACCCTTTCTTACTTTACCTAGTAAACTTTTAATCATTTTGAAAGATTCAGTTCAACTACACTACTTCCACAAGGAATCTTTTCTTGGGTTTCCCATGTGGACAATAGTGCTTTATCCTCCGTTCTCAGAGAACCTCATATACATACTCCAAAAAAATACAGTTACTTTGCTAAAATTGTTTCCATGGACATCTTCACCACACCACGTGTTTCTCAAGAGCAAGGGCTATATTCTATTTCTTTAAAATCATTTTAAAATGTTTTGAGAGGTAATCGACCCCATTAACTACTTATTAAATGCATGCTAAAGGCATGAATAATTGGTAGCATATATTGCTAATCAAGCTCCAACATCCAGTCTTTCTTCTTATTTAATAGAACCCCAACCCACTTCAACCTCTCTGTAGCTACCCAGCTAGGGAAGGTCCTATGACAAAGCTCTCATCATGAGATATAACTGGACAAGATGTGTGATGCTTCTTCCTTGCGACTTCCTTATTGAGAAACTGCTTGTTCTTAATTTCTTTCATCTTTTCTGCTTCTCACAGACTGAAAACAGGTGGCAATTGACAGTTTCCTTGGACTTAGTGATGGAAATGAATGTTGACGTTGGCTGAGCTCTCCTGACAGCCTGGAAACTTGCAGAAACTTGGTGGCCAGACCACCCTACTCTGAATTACTTTAGAGAAAAACCACATCCTGTCATATTTAAGCCACTATATTTTGGGGTCCCTTTATTACAGCAATTCAGGTGATGCCCTAGTTAGTACATGGTTGAAACAGAAACTATTTTCTATGATATTGAAGCTTTATTTTCTCAGCCTTGGACCATAGAAAATATTTCCATTTCTATTATGTATCAGGATAAAACCTAGAAATATGTCATGGAAAACAATTAAATATTACTTTTACAGGTAAGCTTCAAAACACTATCAAATTTCTATTTATTGCCTGTAGAACTTAAATTATCATTAAAAATTAAAAGGCAACTATTTCCAAGAGTAGAAACTTTATTTACAATCTTTAAAAATATCCTCTAGTCTTAAGACTCTACCTTGTTTTTAGCTTCTGTGTTTTCTTCCCTCATTGAAGAATCAGTCATTCATTTTAGGCACAGCCTTGTCTTATGCTTTAGGAAAATCTTGACCTTGGATGGAAGAGAAAAAAGGAACTCCAGAATGATAGCCAGGTATTATTTGCTAGCATTACCTTCAGCAGCACTTGACACCATTGTGCTTTTTATTCTGAAACCCAATATTCATTCTTCTTTCTGTCTCTGGTATCTGAAACCATGTTTTAGAATCTCAATAGCAACCCAAATGCTGTAAGGCTAGAATTCCATTCTTGCAATTGCCAGTGACCCGATTCAGGATACATTCCCTTGATCTAGATCATATGACTTATTTCTTGACCAACCTGTTAGAAATTTCCGCTCTGGTGATTTTCCTCCAGTATGTACCACTGGTACTATACTCTGTACTATACTCTGTACATTAGTCTTTTGCTCATCAGGAGGCTATTATACCTAAAATCTGGGTTTGTCCTGTATCTCACTTGAGTGTCTGATGCTTTTAGATGAAAAAGTCTTGGTTCCTCTTAGTATTCCTTTGTTTCTACTGGAGTTAAGGGTCAGTAATGAGAATGTCCTGAGATACGATGATATTGGTGAGTGCTTCCAATCTGTCGTTAATATATCATTAATATAATATATATATTTATTAAAGACTTTCATTGCAAAATATTAGGCTTTTGAGCAATATTGTCTTTAGCAATTACCTTCAATCTAAGGTTGAAGATACACAAAACCATCATAGTGAACACTGTAATTTATCCCCGCCCTATACTTTCCTTTTTTCTCATAAATTATGTGGATTTTTTTGCCTTTTGTTAATTGCTTCTCTCTCATCTAGCTAGTTCAGCAATCAAATGCCCCTCCTTCTTTTATAGAGGTGGGCCTGTGAGCAGGGCTGAGCAGTGAGTGGCCTGGAATGTTGATTGATCCAAGGATAGGAAAATGGCTTAAGCAAGGCCTCAATTTCCTTTCAAGAACTGATATAGTTGCTAGAGGACAGAGAGTTTTTCTCCCACCTTCTGAGATCATGTGTCATAACAGCATTCAACCTGGAGAGGCAAATGGCCAAGAAGTAGAGAGAAAATAGGTTCCTGATAACATCTTCTGAACATCTGGACTACGATTATTTTTTCCTGCTGATTCCAATAAATATGCAACAAGTTTGAGCTCTTTTAATTGCAAGGAAGGTAGTCTAAACCAGAGGTGATAAACTATGGCCCCATTATCTATTTTTTGTAAATAAAGTTTCATATGAACACAGGTACATGTATTTGTTTACATATTGTCAATGGCTTATTTCCTACTCCTACTGCAGAGTTGAGTGGTTGTGATGGAGATTGTATGGCCAAAAAAAACCCTAAAATATTTAATATATGGCTCTTTACAAAAAAAGTTTGCCAAACCCTGCTTACTTTTGAAACAGGCTTTTAAAAAACAACTTTTAATATTTGAACAATTTGAATTATTTTCAAATATAACTTTTCTTTCCATAACTTCTATGTCTTTGTGGACAAATTAAATTATGACTGAAGGTATGATTCTAAGGGTGGCACCAAATGTCAGGCAATTTTTGTTTTGGTGGTTTGTGCTTGAATATACTTTGCTGATTTCTAAGCTGACTTATATTCAGTAAAACTGTATACCTTACTACAAGGTGACGTACTGTGTGCAGTTTATTTTTGAGAAAATATTGGCACCTTCTGTATCTTATAATTTGCCGAACTTATTCATAGTCTGTGTAATGCATAACGATCTGCCTCATCTAGAGTTATCCAGTATAGTACCCACTAGCCACATGTGGCTACTGGTAAGAGAAACGGGCTAGTCTGAATTGACATATGTTGAATGTGTAAAATACACACCAGATTTCAGTGAGCAAGCATGACAAATATGATACAAAAAGTCTCAGTGATAATTTTTGAATATTTATTAAATGTTAAAATATTTTTAATATATTGGATTAATAAAAGTATGTTATTGGAATATTTTTTATATTTCTTTTAAACTTTCGAAAATGAATATTAAAAAATTAAAATTACTTTTGTGCCTCATATTGTGTTTCTATTAAACAACAATGAACCAGAAATTATAGAAAATGTAGTATGACTGAAGATTAAAGTAAACTTTCATAATTTTGAAAGCATTTTAAGTATTTTATCTTTGTAGGATGGGCAAATCATCTTTATATTATTATCTTATATCCTTACACTCTCTTGAGGACCAGGCATTTGTGAATATGCACATACTATTGATCAAACATGTAATTTGTATTTTGTTGATAAAATCTGAGCCCATGAAAAAAATGATTACATATATAAGATTAATTGTTAGATACATATAGGTTCTGATTCTCTATATTTAATTTTTAAAAATCTATGCAGGGAGGATACAGGAGCATGCAGAGTTGGTTACATTCTTGTAAAAAATCTTATTATGTGCTTTATTAAAGTAAGTCTAAATACACACAAATGTCGGGACATTGTAAGTATAATTGAAATAAGATTTTGTCTTCATTTATTTCTAAAGTGATTATCCTGTGAAATTTCTTATAGTGGAAAATACAAAAAGAATATTCATTCTTGTTTAGTTACTATGTTGTCATACTGAAATTGATGTCTGCAAAATGGGGATGATGGGTAAAATGGAAGCTCTTCAGAGGTTCCAACCAAATGGCACTCTTTTAGATTTGATTACTTAATTTATGTTAATTTCTCTTTTTAATATAAATATACCAATACATGTCTAAAATGAATAGTAATACACTTGTACTTTTCCTTCTAAATGAAAGCATCTGGAGACATAATGAATTCAGTACAAATGTTATATATTCCATTCACATCTCAATACATTTAGCATGTGTTGTTAGTATGTCATTTTTGAGAAAGAAAGGCAGCCGTCAGAATATGAAACATGCCCACCAAGTGAATATGAAAGCATATTTTTAGCTTCCTATTGAGCATTTATGGTTGCAAAAGGTATTTGTCTACTGGAATGAATAGGAATCTGACAACCATTAGAGAGTTCTCCAATCATTCCTGAGCACGATGACCTTTTGGTGAGCAGGTAATATGTAAATCATGCATTGTATTTTATTTAAGAATTTAAAAGTAGATTCATAATAGAGTCTACATACTTCAGACATTAGCAGGTCCTTGGCTAGCTGTCAAATGCCTTGTTTTAAGTAATGTCCATATCAGGAGCTTAAAGAAAATATAAAACTTTGCTGAAAGACTTGAAAGAAGACACGAATAAACAGATATGTGATTACTGTAGATGGGAGGACTCTGTATTGTAAATAAATCAGTCATTTGCAAATTAAGCTGTGAATTCATTATGATTCTAAAAATATAATCCCAAAGTGATAAACTCTTAGAACAAAATTACAAACTTCCTAAATACTAAAAGTTACACTAAGAGAGAAATAAAAAGAGGCTAGAATGAAACATATCACAGAGCAAAAAGTATGTATATACAAGACAAATGCACATACATATCAACATGTATATGTATAAAACAACATGACAGGCCAGGCATGGTGGCTCACATCTGTAATTCCAACAGTTTGGGAGGCTGAGGTGCTAGAACTGCTTGAATCCATGAGTTCAAAGCCTGGGAAACATAGAGAGCCCCTGCCTCTACAAAAAAATTAGCTGTTGTGGTAGCAGATACCTGTGGTTTCAACAACACAGGAGGCTGAATCAGGAGGATCTCTTGAGCCTAGGAAGTTGAGGCTTCCATGAGCCGTGTTCATGCCACTGCACTCCAGCCTGAGTGACAGAGAAAGACCCTGTGTCAAACAAACAAACAAACAACATGACAAAAGTGAGGATCAAATAATGATCATATCAATAAATATAAGTAGACTTACAAAATTATTTTCAGAATGCATATAAATGAAGGAAGCAAAGTGAATAGAAATGTGCATAATATGTTAACACCTATATGTATAAACATGTTTGCTTATGATAAAATAAAACAATGGAAGGATAAACAATAAAATTACAAAAAACCAATATGGGTGAAGGTAGCAGTAGGTGGAGAAGATTGGTTCGAAGGTGGAATTCTTAGGCTATACTCTGTTTAATAGACTTGGAGTCATTTCTCCAAAGGAGACACATATTTTACGTAATTATCAAGCAGTTAATTAAAAATTGATAAAACAAGCGAACCTAAATTTGTATCAAGTTGGTAGCATAACCACATAAGTAGGAACTGTTTCACATAGCTGTGACAGAGTGGTCTTACTATACATCGTTAAAGGAGATGCTGAAACCAGAAACTCTACCAATTCTTATGATGTTGTTATGATAGTTATTCTGAGATTATGGAGAATGTAGTGTTGAACAAAGTAAATAAATAATTTTTGCTTTGAGAATTGAGATTTTTGGTATGACAGAGATTTAAGGTTAATAGGGTCCAAAGTATCTGTATGATCTACTGAGATAATTTTTACTAAAAAAATATTTCTAGTTTTGTGCATCGAAAGTTGTAGAAACAATGATCATCAGCCTAGTACCAGTAAATGTTACAGGTGTCCAGACTGTGGACTCTAAATACCATTTTCCACCAAAAAGAAACAGAGCACCTGGAGAAACAACAGATTACAGGTCTGGGTTAGAAAATGTACAAGTTTAGCTTAGCAACTCTTTTTACACTACAAAGTAAGAATAATATATGACTAATCTGATCATGTCTAAAGGATGAAAAAGATTTCCATTGGTCAAAGAAGGTACACCATGAAGTTAAACACACTAAATATATATTTATAAGTTACTATTAATTAATCTATTAACAACATATATTACGTTTTCGGATTTCAAAATCTTTCTATACAGCTATACAGTAATCAAGACAGTAAACTACTGTCATAAGAATAGCCATATAGATCAATGGAATAGAATTGAGAGTTCCAAAGTAAAATTGTAGGTCTATAGTCAATTGGTTTTCCACAAGGGTGCCAAGACAATTCAATGGGAAAAGAAGAGTCTTCAACAAGTACTGCTGCGACAACTCGATATCCATCTGAAAAAAATGAATTTGGTCTAATACAATATTTAAAAAGCTCAAACATGTTAAAAAACTTAACTGTAAGACCCAAAAGGATAAAACTCTTAAAAGAAAACATGCATATAATTCTCTGTCATCTGGCATAAACCAATGGTTCCTTGCTATGAAACCAA